CATAGGTGTCTTTGTGTGTGTCTTGGTTTCTGTCCATGTACACTCGAGTCAGGGGATGTCTGGGTGGGATGTATCCTGGACAACATGCCTGGTGTCCCATCCCCCCGCGCCCCCATGCTTGCCGTGTTGCTATGTGATGGCTGGGGAGGGAAGCAGGTGACTTGTGAGTGTGTTGTCCGGTGCAGTTGTGAGTCCCCGAAACCGCGTCTCCTTCCTTCAGCAAGGGCTCTGACCACTGCCTGCCACCCTGACAACACGAACGGAAAGCTCTCCAGGCAGACCTCCGTTTCCCTGGACACAGTCTGCAGGACTGGGCTTCAGCTAGGTGTGACATTGTGCTTGTGAAGTGGGTGTGTCCAGCATCTTAGTGGGGTGTGTGTGTGTGAATGTGTGTGACAGATGGATTGTGGGGGAGGGGAGGATCTGGAGGGTGGAAATGCATACTTTTCTCTCTCTGGTGAGTTTCTGGATACTACCTTCATGGTGTGTGTGTGTGTGTGTGTGTGTGTGTTCCTTCAGTCTCTCTAGTCACACTCCCTCTCTCTCTCTCCTCTCTCTCTCTCTCTCCTTTTCTTGGTGACTCATTTCTGCGGCGTTGCCCTCCCCCGGCTTGCTGGGTCTCCCCTCCCCCTCTCAGGTGGGTGTTGGGGTCTGATAGAAGGGAACCCTGGGACTAAAAAAATAATAATAAGGTGGGCACCCCTTTGCCCCCCTCACCATCTCAGACCCTGCAGTGCCCCCCATGCTTCTCCCCAGTCCCTTCCACTTCTGGGATGACCAGAGATTAAGGCAATCATATCTACTAAATGGGGTCGTTTTCAGGAGGGTCTTCAGCAGCTACTTTCAGTTTGAAGTGGAGCCCCTGCCCCTCTCTCAAAGCACCCCCTCCCTGCTTGTCCCCCCTAAGGCTGACGCAATGAATGAATGGCTGCAGAGGTGAGTCACCGGTTGGGGGAGGGGGAAGAAGGGGACGGTGGTGAGGTGCCAGAAGGAGGGGGGATCTCAAGCCCCTGCCTCCCCCCCTCCCTTCCACATCTTAGGGAAAAGACCCCTCTGCCCACCTCCCCTGGCTTTCCAGACCTTCTGCTTTGGATCCCTGCTCTACCAGACCCATCTCCTGCCACTCTTTGGGGGGGAACAGAAGAGAATTCAGAAACAAAGATGGGTGGATTCATACCAACAAGCCAGCAAAGCCCAGGGGGTCCCCTCCAGCTGCTCACTGCCGCTGCGCTCTCTCTCCCAGCTGTCTTCCCTATTCCAGAAACCTTTTCCAGAATCCTCTAGAGGCAGCAGGGCATGAAGGACACCACGACTCAGCCCCTGGGAGATGGAAGCATGTGGGAAGGAGCTAGCTCAGGTAGGAAACAGGTGGGAAAGAGGCAGAAACAGACTCAGCGCGGAGAGGACGCGCGGCACAGGGGTCAGGCTATGGGATCGCCAAGCCCTGTTACTTCTTGTGCCAAGGTTGCAGTCTTGCCTTCCACCCCCCCCCCCCGGGGCTTTGGCAGGGCATGTGGGCATGTGGGCTTCTGAGAAACTCCCTGGGCATCTCAATAAGTAGGAGTTGGAAGGGGTTCTGCTGGAAATGGAGGATGCTCTGAAAAAGAGCCAAGGACCCAGAACCTGGTGTGGGGGGGGGGGGGAGGGGGGGTGGCTGCCAATGAGTAGCATGGACTCCCAGCCTTTATTCCACCAAGATCTAGAAAATGAGCAGGGCACATGGAAATCCATATAAACAATCACATACCGGTAAGCCATAGAAGGACCCCAAGAAATTCACAGGCACACACTCCCACCCACATGCATGCATGCGTGAGTGCGCGCGCGCGCACACACACACACACACACACACACACTGAGTACTACCTGGAATCCCTACCAAGTCACACATGACCCACCAATATGTCCAGAACTGGATTCATTCAAAGACTCAAAACTTCATGGGAATCCAGGAAGAGATCAGATTCCACACAGACACTCGGGAGCAGGCACAGAGGGGGAGAGAGACATACAGATCCCACACTCGTGCCCTTCTTGTCTTAATTTGTTTACCAACACACACCCCCTCCCACGTTTCTATTCCTTCCCCGGGTCTCCTTCAGCCCTGTCCACACACATACATGCATCCACATGCATGTACACGCACGCCAGGCTGCTGTGCACACACCAACCCACAGGTATGCCGCTTTTTCCGCACTGCCCACTTAGGCTCTTCTTCCCTTCAGCCAGGCCCCCCCCCCCTCTGCTGGCTTCCCCTCCCCCTCTCCAGATGTCTGAGCCATCGCTCTGATTCATCCTCAGGAAGGTAACGTGACCCCTCCTCATCCCACTGCTCCCCGAGAAGCAGGCTGAGATGATGAAGGAGCCGTGGAGGTGGGGGGAGGGACTGGGGGGACTGGGGGGCCAGGGAGCGGGTCCTGCATCGTTGTGTGTGTATGGGAGGGGGTGAGGCCCTGCCTCAAGAGGTCTCTGGGTCTCCTCTTCTTCCTCTTTTCCCTCCACTACCACACAGCACCTCCTCTTTTCTTTTCTTTCTCCTTTTTCTGCTCACCCCTTCCACCTGCTCAGGTCCCTTCTTTCCTTCCCCTGCCCTCATGGCGCCTCTCCACTCCCCACCCCTTTCTTTCCCCGCAGCGCTGATGGCTTTCTTCTGGGAAAGTCTAGCCTCTGATGGATCAAGCCACTTCTCTGGTGATGGAGAAGCCGCTCTGCTGGCTGTAGGGAGAAAGCACGTGAGTGTGTGTGAGTGCGTGAGGGTGGGCTGCGTGAGGGTCAGTCACCACCTGCGATGAGGAGGGGGCTCAGGCTGGTGGGACACCGGCTCCGAGGCCCTGTCCTCGCCCTCCAGCGGCTCCGGGCGCCGGTGCCCTGCGTGTCGGTGCCCACGGCCACCCATGTGTCCGCAGTTCTTGCGTGTCCGGTGTGTGTCATTGGCTCTCTCCCCCCTCCCCGCCCCCGCCCTGCACCGCACCGCAGCCCCCTCAGCCCTTCCTCTCCCCTCCCCTCCATTCCCGCAGTGGCGGCTCCCCGGGCCCCCCTCCCTCGTCCCCTGCCCCCCTCCCCATTTCCGTCCCCCCTCCCGCCCACGCCCGGTCTCCCTTCGCCGGACCCGGCTGGCAGATGGATTTTCTCTGCGCAATCTGTGCGTCATCGCCCCCCACTCCCGGAACCTCGAGCCGTCCAGGCCCCCAGCCCCGACCCCTGTGTGGCAGGAGACACGGTCGAGGGGGGCTGGCGAGCCAGGGTCTGTCTCTGACGTTGCTGCCCCCCCCCCCCGCGACCCGCTCGCGCCTCCCCTGTGAGCGGTGAAGACTTGGAGTTGAGTCACCCCCCCCCACCTGCGTAACCCCCTCCCCACCAGGTCTGGTCTCGCCCTCCAAACGTCCTTGGGGGGGGGAGGGAGGATGGAGAGGCAGGGGAGGTGGGGGAGGGCGGGGAGGGGTGGGGCCCCGACGCTGCCGAGTCCACCGGACAGAAGGACGGACACACCTTTTTCCTGGAGAAAAGACATGACCCGGAGGCCAAAGCACACATCCTCAAATCTCTCCTTCCCTTCCCCCTCCCCCCCCACGCTTCGACTCGGACCCTTTCCAAGGTGATTACCCAAACCCCAAGATCCGCCCCTTAGCCCGGCCCCGGTGCCCGCACCCAGCCCCGCACCGCAGATCCGCAGGCGGCGCCCGCATTCCGCCCCTCTGTGCTGGGGTTCAGGCTGTCCTTGGGCGTGTTCCCTCTGGACCCGGTGGCCGGATGGGGCGCCCGACGCCCGCGGCCGGCAAAGCCCTGTCCTCCCCTCCCCAGGGTGGATCTACCGGTGCCCAGGCCGAGGTGTGTGTGGGGGGTCCCCCCTTTCTATTTTGCTCGGCAACGCGGGCTCCTGCAGGTTGCTTTGTAACCCACCCTCCCGCCTTCCAGCGCGCCTCAGCATCCACCCTTCCATTCATCCTCCCATTCATTCATTCATCCTTTTCTCCTCGTCCCTCCTTCATTCATTCACAGCCCCCCGCCCCCCTCAACATTTCATTCATTCATTCATTCACTCATTCATTTCCCGGAGCTCGGCTCGCTCACGCCCCTCCAGCCAAAGGTGTCAGTGCGCAGGCGCAGGCCGGGAGAGGCGAGCGCCGTCCAATCGCCGAGCGTCTTCCCTTCACTGGGCGCCCGCCCGCTTCCCCATGAATGAACACTGACGTCAATGGGGCGGGGCGTTCCCACGTGACCTGCGCGCTCCCCCTTTATAAGGTGGAGGCGGCGCGGGCGCTGTCCAGCGTGCTGAAGCCGGAGCGAGCGAGCGGCTGGGAGCAGCGCCGACTCTGCCGAGCCCAGCCCAGTGGACGACAGACCGCGACCGCCTCTCGTACTCCTGCCGTCGCTCGGAGCCAGGGCAGACCGGTCGCGATCTCCCCCCCCGACCCCCACCCTGCCCCGGCCCCGATCCTCCTCTCCACTTTCCGCGTCGTGACACCGGCTGGTAAATACTCCGCTGTTTGTCCCCGCAACCCCCGGTCGTGGGTGCGAGGGAGGGAGGGTTCTCTCTCTCCTCCCAGATGGGGTGGTGGTGGTGTGGAAAACACAGCGGGGTGCCCCTCGTCAGGGTCCCCGGTAAATGGGGAGGGGAGTCGCAGCATTTTTTTCCTCGCTGCTGAAGTCGCCCACGCACCATCCGGGGAGTCCTGCGGGGAGCGGGCAGCGCTCCCCCCTTATCCGTGCTTAGTACGTGGGCGCTGGCAGCGAGGGGGCTCGGGGAAGGGGGCGAGGTGGCCCGGGGTGAGCGAGGTGGTGGGTGGAGACTCCAGAGATCGGCGCATCTTCCTCGATTGCTCCTACCCGTCCCTCTTTTGGGTAAGATTAAGCGGGATGAGGGAAGCCCCGGATTTCCCTGCTTCAAGGTGGGGGGAAGGGAGCACAGGAATAAGAGAGCTGGGAATTCTTACAGAAATCCCCCCCCTCTTTCTCCCTCTGGCCCCTTCTATTTTCCAGTCTCCGGCAGCCCCTCGGTCATGAAATCCCTGAGATTGCGGGCTTCCGTCCTCTTTTGCTTCTTTCTGCTAATCAAGGGGGTGGGGGCCGCGCCCCCCGGGCGCCCAGAGGCGCAGCCGCCTCCTCTCAGCTCTGAGCATAAAGAGCCGGTAACTGGGGACGCAGTGCCCGGGCCAGGGGATGACAACGCTCCCGAAGTCCGAGCCGTTCGGAATTCCGAGCCGCAGGACCAGGGAGAGCTCTTCCAGGGCGTGGATCCTCGGGCGCTGGCCGCGGTGCTGCTGCAGGCACTCGACCGCCCGGCGTCGCCCCCAGCGCCGGGTGGTTCCCCGCAGGAGCCAGCGGGAGAAGCGGCAGAAGCTCTGCTGACCGAGACGGTGCGCAGCCAGACCCACAGCCTCCCGGCGCCGGAGGTCCAGGTGCCCGCAGCTCCGCCTCACGCGCAGACCCAGGAGAACGGCGCCGAGGCCGGGGGCCCTGCGGACGAGCTGGAGACGCTCGCGGCGCTGCTCCAGGAACTTCGCGATTTCAGCCCGAGCAGCGCCAAGCGCCAGCAGGAGACCGCAGCGGCGGAGACGGAGACCCGCACGCACACGCTGACGCGAGTCAATCTGGAGAGCCCGGGGCCCGAGCGCGTGTGGCGCGCGTCCTGGGGAGAGTTCCAGGCGCGCGTCCCAGAGCGCGCGCCCCTGACCCCCTCGCAGTTCCAGGCGCGCGTGCCCGAGAAGGGGCCCCTACCCGAAGCCCCTCAGTTCGGGGAAGGACTGCCCTCCCCCAAATCACACCTGGGCGAGGCTCTGACACCCTTATCGAAGGTATACCAAGGCCTGAGCGCCCCCTTTCCCAAGGCGCGCCGGCCCGAGAGCCCGCTCCTGGGCGGTTCCGAGGCCGGGGAGCGCCTGCTGCAGCAGGGGCTAGCGCAGGTCGAGGCTGGGCGGCGGCAGGCGGAGGCCACGCGCCAGGCCGCAGCCCAGGAAGAGCGTCTGGCCGACCTCGCCTCCGACCTGCTGCTCCAGTATCTGCTGCAGAGCGGAGCGCGGCCGCGCGGCCCCGGGGGTCGGGGGCAGCCGGAGACGCAGCCCGAGCGCGAGCGGGAGGAGGCGGAGCAGGAGAGGCGCGGCGGGGAGGAGAGGGCGGAGGAGGAGGAGGAGGACGAGGAGGCGGCGGAGGCGGAGGCCGAAGCCGAGGAGGCGGAGAGGGCGCGGCAGAACGCACTCCTGTTCGCGGAGGAGGAGGACGAGGAGGATGGGGAAGCCGGGGCCGAGGACAAGCGCTCCCAGGAGGAGACGCCGGGCCACCGGCGCAAAGAGGCGGAGGGGCCGGCGGAGGGCGGGGAGGAGGACGACGACGACGAGATGGACCCGCAGACCATCGACAGCCTCATCGAGCTGTCCACCAAACTCCACCTGCCCGCCGACGACGTGGTCAGCATCATCGAGGAGGTGGAGGAGAAGCGGAAGCGGAAGAAGAACGCCCCCCCAGAACCGGTGCCGCCCCCCCGTGCCGCCCCCGCCCACGTCCGCTCCCCGCAGCCCCCGCCCCCCGCGCCCGCCCCCGCCCGGGAGGAGCTGCCGGACTGGAACGAAGTGCTGCCGCCCTGGGACCGCGAGGAGGACCCGGCGTTCCCCCCGGGGCCCTACCACCCTTTTCCCAACTACATTCGGCCGCGGACGCTGCAGCCGCCCGCTGCCTCCCGCCGCCGCCACTTCCACCACGCCCTGCCACCTTCGCGCCACTATCCCGACTCGGAGGCCGAGGCGCGGCGCGCGCAGGCGGAGGCGGAGGCGGAGGAGCGCCGGCTGCAGGAGCAGGAGGAGCTGGAGAATTACATCGAGCACGTGCTGCTCCGGCGCCCGTGACTCGCCGGGCTCCGCCCCCGCCGCGCGCGGCCACACCCCCTCCGTGTCGCCCCTCCGCCCCTGTGTTTGCATGCGCCCCCGCCCCTTCCCGGACCGCCAGGCCCCGCCCCTCCGGGGCCCCGCCCCCGTCCAGACCACGCCCCCGCCGCGCCAGGCCGGGCCCTGCCAGACCTCCTCCCGGCTCCGACGCCTCCACTCCCCGGCCAGCCGGGGTGGGCGGGTGGTCCGGGCGCGGTCCCTCCCCCCGCAGGGCCCTGTCTCCCCCCTGGTTGCCCTCGGGACGTCCCCGTCCGAAACCGGTAAAAGCAGCTCTGATCCTGTGATGGAAGTGTGTCTGTCTGCCGCCCTCCGGGCCTCCCGTGAGCCTCTCCACCTTCTCCAAATCGCTGTGAACTTCTCCCTCTCCTTTCTCTGTTGTAAATACCCCTCACGGAGGAAATAGTTTTGCTAAGAAATAAAAGTGACTATTTTATTAGGACTTTGTTCTCCGTTATTCACCCGTCCCCTTGGGCCCAGCTGTGGCCCTTCCCAAGGGGCGGTGAGGGGAGCGCCCGGTGGGCCGCCCAAGGAGAGCAAGCTCACCTAGGGGCCGGAGGTTTCCCGCTGAGAAACCCCACTGCGTCAGACGCAGGTGTCTCGCGCCTGGTAATCCTAGCTACTCAGGAACCTGAGATCTGAAGATCCAGGTTCGAAGCCACCGCGTCAGAAAAGTCTGGAGCGACTATCTCCAGCTAACCAGCAAGAAGCTGGAACCGGCGTGTGATTTAAATGGCAGAGTACCAACTTTGAGCAAAAAGCTAAGGGAGCGGGTGAGGCCCCGAGCTCGAGCCCCAGGATGTTGGGGTGTTGGGTGGTGAGGTTGGAAAACATTGCCCAGCATTTGCTCAGCATTTGCCCAGCATTTGGCAGAAGAGAAGACTACCAAGAGCCAGTTGTTGGCAGTGAACGAGCTCAGGAAGCTGGTTCAAAAGGAAAAAGGAGGTCTGGGAAGGTGGCTCAGTGGTAGAGTGCTTGCCTTGCATGCATGAGGCCCTGGGTTTGATTCCTCAGCACCACATAAGCAGAAAAACCTGGAAGTGACGCTATGGCTCAAGTGGTAGAGCGCTAGCCTTGAGCTGAAGAGCTGAGGGACAGCGCCCAGCCCAGAGTTCAGGCCCCATGACCTCCAAAAGAAAAAAAAAGAAAAGAAAAAGGACTCAGCACTGCACCTCTGGGGACTTGGATCTTTTTATGGTCCTGTTCCCACAGGCCTTGCTCCAACTAGTTGTACCCCCACTTCACTAAAGCTCCCCAGTTGCCAGGTATCTTCCCAGAATGTGGTGAAAGCTGTCAGGCCGCTGGAGGAAGTGGGGGGTGGGGGGGACAACAGGCTGCTGCCAAAAAACCATGTCCCTATCAAAAACACCATCTGAGTCAACCATTCTTTGTGTGCATCGCCTAAAACCGTTCAATGGGCAAAACAAGCTACATGCTACAAGTCCCCATTGACTACAAGTTCTATTTATACCCAGCCTATAAAAGCTCTGCTAAAACCAAACTCAGTGCAACCTCTCTGATCCCAACCAGGTAGCCAGCCGGGGTGCGGACCCCAATAAACTTTCCTGTCAATCTTTTTATTATTTTCTGTGCGGTCCTTTTCTCACCTAAAACCTTACCAAAGCCTTGTTTTGGTTACTTATCAGCTTCCCAAGCTGATATAGCCTTGGAATGGATAACCTCCAATTAACAAGAATCTGGGCACCGGAAATCCTCTAAAGAAACCGGAAGTAGAGCCCAGGACTTGCTCCCCCCTAGCCCTGGGTGAGCAGTCCTGCCAGGCACACAGCCAGCAAGGCAACCTGCCAGAGAAAAAACAGGAGGAGAGCTGAGGATGGAGGTTCCATGCCAGCCAAGGGCTGTTAAGTCCACGAGGCTCTCATCTCCAATTAAACACCAAAAAGCCAGAAGGGGAGCTATGGCTCAAGTGGTAGAGCACCACCAGCCGTGAGTGAAAAAGACAGAGGACAGCGCCCAGGCCCTGCGTGCAAGCCTCTGGACTGGCACGAGAAAAAAAACAAACAAACAGAAAAACCTAGTGTGACATTCATATGTAACTTTTTTTTTCCTTCCTAAATCTGGCAACCCCAGCGTTGGAGAAGAGGCCAACGGGCAGGGTGCCCTTGGCTCCACTTCTCGTGGACAGCCGAGGCCCTGTCTGCCTTCACAAAGCCCAGGACACAGCAACTCCAGAAATGCTTTTTCCTTTTATTTCAGAAGAAAGGAAATGAAGGCAAAGACTTGGCCCACCCCACCCCATCCCACCCCTCCAGCCACACCCAGAATATGGAGTGGAGGAGACAGCCCAGGCCTGTGTCCCACAAAGGCCCCCCCCTTCCCTGGTCCCTTCCCTCAGCAGGGGCAAGGTTAGAAAAAAATGAACTATGCTGTTCCTCCTGGCACCATGCAGAGGCCCGACCGCAGCTGAGGAGGAAGTGGGGGTGGTGAGGGAAAAGGACCCCCCCTCCGAGGCAGAGAAGCTGCCCTGGCTGGCTAGGGGGAGGGGTGGAGGTAGGTTTTGGGGCAGAGGGGGCAGAAGAGCCCTGAAAACCTTTTCCCTTTAACCTGATAATATTTATATATTTACAGTGATTGTTATGGGAGGGAAGATATTTTTTTTTGGGGTGGGGGGGGAATAACATTGGTTCTTCAAAGGCAGGGAATGGAAGCCAAATAGCACCCCCTGTCTGGGTCACATTTCTTCAGTGGGAATGGCAGGTGGTGGCGGGAGGGAATGCTTCAAGGGCCTGGGCCCACAGCCCCTTCCAGAGGTGAGGTGGCCGAGGAGGGACAGCTGGGTCCCACCAAGAGAAAGGCGGGGCAGGGGTGGGGTGGGAGGGAAGGTGGGTGAAGGCTCTTTCCTGGGCTCCCTCATCTCACAGGGCCGGGCAGCAGGGGCTATGCCAGACCCATTTCCTCCAGCACACTGCGCGGCGATTCGTCCTCCTGAGACACACAGTAGGGTGGGTAGACGGTGGCAGACACAAAGGGGTGGAGAGGAGGAGGGAGGCAAAGAGACACAGGGTTGGGGGAAGAAAAGCCGACATGAGCCAAGGCAGGAGCAGGGGGAGCCCTGGTCAGGGGGCTCACCCACCTCCCAGCACCACCCCCAGCACCCAAAGGGGCAGAGGCAGCATGGAAGGGAGAGTCCACCAGCACCCAGAACCCGAAGCCCAGAGCTGGGGAGAGAGGGGAGGGTACATAGGGGCTCAGCCTCAGGGCCTAAGCTGGTATGGGGGCAGAAGCCTACTTTCCAGGGGGCTGCAGGGGCCGAGAGCTGGGCCCTGTTTGTTGGGGTGTGCTGGGGGTGGTCGAGGGCAAAAAGAGGTTGGCATCCAGTCCCCACACTGCAGAGATGAGTCATTAGGACTGAAAAGATTACTAGTAATCAGGGGGGTGGGGTATGCCAGGCCAGGTATGTGTGTGTGTGTGTGTATATGTGCACATGTGTGTGTGTGTGTCTGTGTGTGTGTATGTGTGGCTGGACCAGCAGGGAGGCAAGCTCTCCCTCCTCCTGCAGTGATGACCCCACACTTCCGCTGGTCTCCCCCTCCCCACAGACAGCTCAGGCCAGCTCACTCAGGCACTGCGGATTCTGGTGACTCATCGCCCTGCGGCAAGGCTCACCGGTGGCAAAGCAGAGCGAGGGGGCAGGCAGGGTGGGGAGGGGGTGCGGGCGGGGGCACACAATGACAAGGAGAATGTCCCCACATCTGTGCACACACACCCCCTTGCCCAGCCCCAATCTCCAGGCTTTTAAGTAAGTGTGTGCGAGTGTGGGTAGCTCCGTGGTGGGCTGTTTGCCTACCCTGTGCAAGGCCCTAGGCTTGATTTCTAGCCTCACCAAAATAATAATAATGTAAATAAACCAGAGGGAAGATTGATTTTTTTTTTTCTTTCTGGCTGTCAGTGCTAGAGCTTATACGCAGGGCGGCCTGGTTCTCTTGCTTGGCTTTTTGGCTCAAGGCTGGCACTCTGCCCCTTGAGTCACAGCTCTCCTTCCAGCTTTTCGGTGGCTAACTGGAGATAAATGTCTCACAAACTTCACTGCCTGGGCTGGCTTTGAACTGTGGATCTTCAGATCTTAGCCCCCTGAGTAGCTAGGATTATAGGCATGACCCTGAAGAGACTGATATTCACTGGGGATATGGTTAAGTGCTAGAACACTGGCCTGGCAAGCCCAAGACCCAATTCAGTCCTTACTACCATAGGTGGGGAAAAACAAAGACTGATCTACCAAGAACCCCCCCCCCAAAAAAAAAAAACCCCACACTGATCTACCAGGAGCCCCAGTTCTCTGAGTAAGAAACTGCAGGCCAAGAGAAATATTAAAAGCAGTCAAAAAAGGGAATTTAGCCAGGACCTGACACCTTGAGTCCCAAAGGACAGAGAATGTGGTAAGAAAATAGGACAATTAATAAGATGCCTGATGGTCTTTCACCCCTGTCCATACTCGAGGGGGAGGTGTCAGAGACTGGAGGCCAACTGTGCAGCCCTGAGTGCGGGGGGGCCACACACCGCAGGGAAGAGGGCCCCCCCAGCGACGAGCAGGGCGTTCAGGGCGGGCAGGGGGCCCTCTGCCACCGCCGTCTTCCTCCTCCTCCTCCTCACTGTGCTGGGCCCGTACCTCCTGCAGAAGGTCAGCCTGCTCGATGGCTTTCAGCACGCTCTTCTTGGAGGTGTCCTGCACGTCCCCGCCCATCAGGAACTCATCCAGGATGAAGTAGGCTTTCTCGAAGTTGAAGATGATGTCCAGCTCGCATACCTGGGAGGAGGGGAGGAACGGAGAGTTGAGGTATACTCCCAGCCCCTCACTTTTTCCATGACATTCTTCTCACCTTGTTTTTTGTTTTGTTCTCCCCTCGAGGCAGGTGCTTTACCACTTGGGCCACAGCTCCAGTTCCACTTCCAGATTTTTGGAGTATTATGGGCTTTCCTGCTTGGGCTGGCTTTGCAATGCAATCGTCAAGCTAGGCACCGGCGGCTCACTCCTGTAATCCTAGCTACTCAGGAGGCTGAGATCTGAGGATCACAGCTCAAAGCTAGCTAGGGCAAGAAAGTCCATGAGACTCTCTTCTCCAATTAACCACCAGAAAACCAGAAATGGCACTATGGCTCAAGTGGTAGAGTGCTGGCCTTCAGCTGAAGAGCTGAGGGACAGTGCCCAGGCCCAGAGCTCAAGCCCTACAATTCCCCTCTTCCCCTTCCCCCCAAAAGCAACCCCCAGATCAGAGCCTCCTGAGTAGCTAGGATAACAGGTGTGAGCCAAGGTGCCCGGCTCCACCATGTGTTTTAATACTGGTCTTGGGTGCTCCCAACCCCCAGGCCTTAATACTTATTATCCTTATTTTGATCTTCTCCCACTCCTGCCTTTATTTATTTTTTTGGTTGGTTGCAGGGCTTGAACCCAGGGCTTGGGCATTGTCCCTTAGCTCTTTTGCTCAAGGCTAGCGCTCTACCACTTTAACACACAGCTCCACTTCTGGGCTGACTTTGAACCACAATCCTCAGAAGATCTCAGCTTCTTCAGTAGCTGGGATTACAGATGTGAGCCACCGGGGCTCAGCTTCTTTTTAAAAAACAACAACAAAATAACAGACAAAAACAGGGTCTGGCCATGTAGCCCAGTGTGGCCCGGAACTCCAGGTCATCATGCTTTAGCCCCAAGAGCTGGGATTACAGGCAAGCCCCACCATGCCAGGCCTTCTTCCCTTCCTCCTGCCTTTCTCTCTGAACATGCAATATTACGTTCTAATCTATCTTCGTTGTAGTTCCTTCTGCTTTTCCCCTAATTCTACAACACCATTCCTACAAGAGGCTGGGGTACCTTCCCCTCCACACACAGGCACTGTGGGGGGAAGGAGACTTGAGTCCAAGATGGGCTCTACCTATAACCAGCTGTCTATACAATCACAGAATGTCTCTGAAACTCAGTTTCCCCACCTGAAGATGAGGATATCAGCATCTACTCTCACAGGGCAGATACAGACCAAAAAGAGAGCTCTGTCAGCTGCCAAGTGGGAGATGAGCTGTGAAGTCAACTCCACTAATACACATCTAAGATCAGAGCTGTCTACTAAAGCCTGGGCTATTCCTACATGACTTAATGTGGAATCTCCATGCATCCATATTTTGAAAAACTCTTCAAGGCCAGGCACCAGTGGCTCATGCCTCTAATCTTAGCTACTCAGGCTGAGATTTGAGGATTGAGGTTCAAAGCCAGCCCAGGCTGGAGTCTGTGAGGCTCTTGTTTTTTTGTTTTTGTGCTGGTCCTGGGGCTTGAACTCTGGGCCTGGGCACTGTCCCTGAGCTCTTTTACTCATGGCTAGCACTCTACCACATGAGCCACAGTGCCATTTCTGGCTTTTTCTGTGATTAATTGGAGGTAAGAGTCTCATGAACTTTCCTTCTGAGCTGGCTTTGAACCACTATCCTCAGATCTCAGCCTCCTGAGTAGCTAGAATTATAGGTATGAACCACCGGTATCTGGCTTCATAAGACTCTTATTTCCAATTAACCACCAAAAGAAAAAAAGCTGGAAGTGGAGCTGTGGCTCAAGTGGTTAAGCTCTAGTGTTGAGCAACTAAAAGCTCAGGGACAGTGCTCAGACCTGGAGTTCAAGCCCTAGAACTAGCACAAAACAAAACAAAAAAAACAAGCAAAAAACCCTCTAACACCAGGCTCTAGTGGCTCATGACTGCCATCCTACAAACTCAGGAGGCTGAGATCTGAGGATTGTAGTTTGAAGGCAGCCTGGGCCAAGAAAATCCAAGAGACTCTTATCTCCAATTAACCAGCAAAAAACCAGAAGTGGAGCTGTGGCTCTGGTGGTAGAGCAGCAGCCTTGAGCAAAACAGCTCAGGCACAGCATCCAGGCCCTGAATACCAGCATAAAATAAATAACTAAGTAAGTAAAAGCTAGCAAACAAACAAACAAAAAACCTCCAGAAGATTCTAATACCAAGCCAAAAGCAGGAACTACTATCAAAATCAGAACTGGGTCTCTGTCCTTGTATGCAGAAGTGTGAGCCAAAGTGGGTACCTGTGGCTCACGCTTATAATCCTAGCTACTCAGGAGGCTGAGATCTGAGGATCGCAATTCATGATTGAAGCCAGCTCAAGCAGAAAAATCCTTGTGACACTCTTATCTCCAATAAACTACTCAAAAAAGCTGGAAGTGGCACTGTAGCTCAAGTGGTAGAGTGCTAACCTTGAGCAAAAAGAGGCTCAGGGACAGTGTCCAGGCCCTGAGTTCAAGCCCCAGGACTGGTGCAAAAAAAAAAAAAAAGAAAAGAAAGAAAAAAGAAAAAAGGAAAAGAAAGAAAAAGAAAAAAAAGTGAGAGCCAAGCACTAAGTAGAAATTAAGTACTGGACTCATGCTGGACACTTCCTTCCTTCTCCCTGATCCCCGCTCAAAGCCTCAGGGCCAATTAAGGGACTTGGCTAATAGGCTTAGAGCTTAACAGGGGAGATTAATTGGGGTTCTCGCTGCTCCAACTTTACCTCCCCCATGAGATTTCTAGTGCAGAAAATAGCTGGACGGGCTTTCCTTAAAGTTCATCAGAAAGAAGCCAGGTACTGATGACTCATACCAGCTACTCAGGAGGCTGGGATCTGAGGAGCTCAGTACCAAGCTAACATGGGCAGGCAAACCTGTGAGACTATCTTCAACCAACCACCAAAAAGCTAGAAGTAGAGCTGTGGCTCAAGTAGTAAAGTGCTAGCCTTGAGCAAAAAAAGCTAAGGGACAGCACCCACACCCTGAGTTGAAGTCCTGGTACTGGCACTAAAAAACAAAACATGTTTAGCAGGAAGAGACACCTGCTGGGAAGGCAAGCCAGGGAAGGAGGGGGGACTCACGCTGCCGAAGTACTTGTCCAGGAGTTCCACGTATCGGTGGATGAGCTCCAGCGTGATGAGCTCGTTGTCTTGGCCCTCGATGGCACAGCAGAAGTAGAGGCTGGCATATCTGAGGAGGGGACACAGGGGACAGCTGGGAGCCAGCTTCCAGACCCCAACGTTGTAGGTGCACCCCTCCCACCAGCCCAAGGTCTGAGCGCCAATTGGACACAGCAGGGAATCCAGAGTCCAAGTGTTCTCTCTCCTTTTTGCCCTCTGACCATCTCCATTTGACTCAGCAAAACTTTGAGCCAACTTATTCACCAGTTCACAGAAGGAGCCTGTGTGCGGGGGTGGGAGGGGTTATTGTGAAAAGTGGGGCAGGGCCTTTGAACGGTGAGTGTTAGTGCAAGACAGGGACCAGACAGAGGCTAGTGGGACAGAGGTTATATGTAGGAGGCAAGAATCAGGTTTGAGTGGGGTGCTGGTGGCTCATGCCTGTAATCCCAGCTACTCAGGAGGCTGAGATCTGAGTATTGTGGTTCCAAGCCAGCCACAGCAGGAAAGTCTGTGAGACTCTTATCTCCAATAAACCACTCAAAAAAGCAGCAAGTGGAGCTGTGGCTCAAGTGGTAGAGCACTAGTCTTGAGCAAAAGAAGCTCAGGGACATCCTGAGGTCTTGAATTCAAGCCCCAGGACTGGCATTAAACAAAACAAAGCAAAACAACACAGCAAGCCAGGCACTGGTGGCTCTAATCCTAGCTACTCAGGAGGCTGAGATCTGACTGAGGATCACAGTTTGAAGACAGCCCAGGGAGGAAAGTCTATGAGACTCTTATTTCCAATTAACCAGTAGGAAACTGGAAGTGATGGTGTAGATCAAATTGTAGAGTGCTAGTCTTGAGCGAAAGAGCTCAGGGACAGCACCCAGGGCCAAGTTCAAACCCCATGATGGACAAAACAAACAACAACAACAAAAAACAACCCCACAATACAGCAAAAAGCATGGCTGGAGTGGCTCAAGTGGCAGAGCACCAGCCATAAGCAAGCAAACCAACCAAGCATGAGGCAAAAACAGAAGCAAAGAAGTTCCTGCCTGGCAAGGGCAAGGCCCTGAGTTCAAATCTTAGTAAAGTAGAAGAAGATAGATGTTGCTCAAGGGGGATTTGGAAAGCATGGGATGCTGGTGTTTATCACTGGTGTGTATGTATCCTTAGCACCAAGCTCTCCTTGACTAACATATGCTTACTTTTCAGCCCCCTAACCCATTTCTGAACTCCAATCCAGCAGGATCAACCCAAGGGGGTCTGAATCAGGTGGAGTGTCACCTCTTATAGACAACTTTGAGATCCCTCCACTCCAGGAAGCTGCACATCTTGGGTTTGCGAGCCAGGACAACCTGCATGAGTTCCCGCACCATTTTCTTCCGTTCCTTGTCTGATGTGGCCAGGTACCATTTTTGTAGCCGAAGTTTTCCCTGCCGGCTAAACAGCAGCATGAATCGCATCTGGAGGAAGAAGGGGCACCAGAGCTAAGAGGCAGACATTTGCTGCAGAGCCTTTTCTTCTAGCTAAGGGACAGCAACCAGGCCCTGCGTTCTAGGCACATAAACAAAACTTCCACAAACCCAAACCCTCCCTGCTAACTCTGGATCTTGCCAGGAGGTGTCTATCATTCAGGTTCAAATCCTGACTCTTAAATTGGGTATGGCCTTGAATTACTTAAATCTTTGGCCTCAGTTTCTTAGATTAAAAAAAAATAAAAATCAGGGCTGGGAATGTGGCTTAGTGGTAGAGTGCTTGTCTAGCATGCATGAAGTCCTGGGTTCGATTCCTCAATACTACATAAACATTAAAAGCTGGAAATGGTGCTCTGGCTCAAGTGGTAGAGTGCTAGCTTTGAGCAAAAGCAGCTCAGGGACAGTGCGCAGGCCCTGAGTTCAAGCCCCAGGACTCCCCCCCCCCCCAAAAAAAAATCATAAAACATTTCTTTAGCCAGGTACTGGTGGTTCAGCCTGTAATTCTAGCTACTCAGGAGGTTGAGTTCTGAGAACTGTGGTTCAAAGTCAGCCCAGACAGGAAAGTTGGTGAGACTCCACCAGCAAGGAGCTGGAAGTGGAACTGTGGCTCAAAGTGGTAGACTACTAGCCCTGAGCTCAGGGCTAGCACCCAGGCTCTGAGTTCAAGCCCCAGGACCGGGATACACGCACACATGCACGCACACACACACAATCTCCTTAAGAATTGTTGTTGGGGGGGTTAAATGAGTTGATATACACAAGTTTCTGACACATGGTGAGTACTTTGTACTTCACCTCACGGCAACTGGGGTTTTCTGTGTCTGCCACCTCAGGTTTTCCACCCTGTCCTGGCCATAAACCCCCTGGATCTTTCTCTGCAGAAGCCTATCTACCCAGCCAGGGCCACACCTGGTTAATGGGAGCTCAATTCCACCCTGGCCTCCTCAGCCATCTTAACATTCCGTCCCTGTAACGACCTGTCACTTTTCTTCCATGACCCCGACCCCTGCCCCCCCACCCCGCATCTGGACCCCCTTTCGGCCTCTCCCCGGGACGAAGCACTCGGGGTGGCACCTTGGGAATGGCGGTGGAACAAGGAGCGAACTTGGAATGCGCTGGGGTGCGGAGCGCTCGGTACCCGGCGCACCCCAGCTTCCCCGTTCCGGGGACTCGTGCGCACAGCCCAGGGCGCGGGCCGCGGGGCTGGGAGGCGGCGGGGGGCCGGGGCCGCGGGACTGGTTCGCAGACTTGAGTCAGGGTTCGGGAGAACCGGGTACCCCACCCCCGACGCCCCCGAAGGAGGGCACCGAGGGGCGCCCCGAGGTCAGGGGTGGGGGGTCAGCAGGAAGACGGAAGGCCTGGGGTGCGGAGGGAAGGCATGCTGGGTGTTGGGGGGCTGCTGGGTGGCTCACAGCACCGAAGGGGGGGGACCCCGCAGCCTGGGTCCCCGACCGAAAACCCGCAAGCTCAGGCGGGCCTTGGGGCGCGCATGGTCCGAAGTGGGGCCCGACCCGGAAATCCGCGGCTCCCCGCCCGGCCTCGCCCCGTGGGGCCGCACGGGGTGGGGGAGGGCTCTGGGGACCCCCGCACCCCGCTTCTCCACGCAGCTCCCTGCGCCCCAATCCTTCGGGCGGCTTCCCCGCGGCGCTGGCCGCGGTCCCTGGGACCCAGATCCGAGTCCCCCGCCCCCGAGCGCTCCTCCGAGCCCAGGACGGCCCCGTCGCCCCGCCACCGGGCCCCCCGCACCCCCAAAACGCGCCCCCTCCCGCCCCTCTCCGCCCCGCTCCCGAGGGCGATTTCCAGCTTTTCCTCCAAAGGCCGGCTCGCCCACCTGTTCGGGGAAGTGGGGGTCTCGGAGGACCAGAGGGAAGACTGAGCGACCCCCAGCCCCCGAGGACGGCCCCTAAGGCCCCCTGCGGGTGCAGCCCACGCCCCTCGGCCCCCCCTCCCCCCGCACAACCTACCATCCTGCAGCCTCCGGCTCGGCGTGTCCCTCTGCGGCCTCCGTAGGCGCCCGCGCCGCTCCCCCTCCGTTCCTTTCTCTCTCCTCCCGCCCCCGGGTTTGAGCCCCGCCCCGTCGCGCAAGGCCACGCCCATCTATTCCCGCCCTCCGGGCTCCGGGGTCCCTCGCGAGACTGCGAACTGCGCAGGCGCGAACGCTGCACGGCGCGCGGGCGGGGCCGGAGGCGGAGAAGCGGAAGCCATAGCAACCAGGTCCTGGACTTCAGCGTTGAGAGGCCCCGTCGTCATGGTAACGGGGCTGTCGTGGGGGTCGGTGGGAGGATGGGGGGGGGATGATAACGCGGTCCTTGCGCTTGGGAGCCTTATGGGAGGGGGCAGGCGGGAAAAGGGGTGAGCGACGGATGGGGGGGTTTGTGAGGCGCTTGTGGGGGGACTGATGAGAGGGACGTCGCGGGGTGCAGGGTGGGGATTCGGGGTGGAAGGTTGTAGAGACTAGGACACAGTATGGAGTCCAGGGTTTTACTGCGAATAGGCCAGGCCAGATACAGCCGGGCTTCGTGACTCACGCCAGTAATCCCAGATACTCAAGAGGCTGAGATCGGAGGATCATGGTTCGAAGCCAGCCTGGGCCAGAGGGACCATGAGACTCCTATCTCCAAATAACCACCGGAAAACTGGAATCGGAGCTGTGGGTCAATGTGTGGTAGAGCGCCAGCCTTGAGTACAAAAGCTCAGGGACCAATCCAGTCCCTGAGTTCAATCAAGCCTTAGTACTGGCACAAGAAAAGCTGTGTGGGAGGGAACACAGAGAATCTTAAAAGGGTAGTAGGGTTCAAAACAGAAAAGGGACAGGTGGAAGAGTAAAGATGAGGAGGTTCTAAATTGTAATAGTAGCTTTTAGCTCTGTATGTGTTTATGTGGGTGCACGCATGCACAATCAAGGTGTAAGACTTCAAAAGAAATGTATTTTGTTTGGCTGAAAAAATTCTATAGTTCTCCCTCCATTATCTCTAGGAGATATATTCCAAGAACCCTAGCAGATTTCCTGAAACCTCATATTTTACCAAACCTGTACACACGATGTTTTTACTCTGTATGTTACACAGCCACATATTTAACCTATGCTAAAGTATCTTGCCAGTAGTTATGAGCATAGAAAGCATCTAACAATAGTAGCTGTTAATCAAATGGAACAATTAAAACTCTATGATTGGGCTCAGTGGTAGAGCGCTTGCCTTGCATGCATGAGGCCCTGGGTTTGATTCCTCAGCACTACATAAGCAGAAAAAGCTGGAAGTAGTGCTGTGGCTCAAGTGGTAGAGCGCTACCTTTGAGCTGAAGAGCTGAGGGACAGCGCCCAAGCCCAGGGTTCAGGCCCCACGACTGGCAAACAAAAACAAAAAAAACTATGCTTGAACTAAATAGTCAGCTCTACTACTCTTGTGCTTTGGAGCCAATAGAAGAAACTTGACCACAGTCCCTGGGGGTTAGGGGCATGGTTGACCTAACAGCTTGGATGTGTATCACATGACTCAGGGTAGGCATGGTCTTCTGTGTGGGTATGCTAGGCAGAGGCTTGCTTTGGAAGGGAGATAGATTACACCTTAATGGTGTTCTATTGAAAACTTGTGAATGGGTTTATTTGTAGGAGTTTTTGTTGAGTAATTCCTGGTTGCAGTTGGCTGTGGGTAACTGAAACTATCAAAAGCCAACACCCATATGGCAGAGAACCATAGCATCTATTTCTACACAGTAGTTGACAACCCATGTTGTTAATTTTGAGCAACTCTTTTGTGGCAAATTGTCAGGAAAGGGTTACCTGCGTTTAGCTGGATGTCACTGGCTCACACCTGTCACCCTGGCTACTCAGGAGGCTGAGATCTGAGGATCATAGTTCAAAGCCAACCTGGGCATTAAAGTCCACTGAAACTCTTTATTTCCAATGAACCACAAAAAGCCGGAAGTGGAGCTGTGGCTCAAGTGGTACAGTATGAAGATGAAAAAGCTAAAAGACAGGCCCTAAATTTAAGCCCCAGCGTGCGCGTCGTGCACACACACACACACACACACACACACACAGAATCGTGTAGCAATATGTAGAATAATTTGAAAGGAGAACTGTGAGAATCCAGGTACCAGGAATGGAGAAGGAGCAATGGACTGAGGTTGATCACTTATGTAGGTAATATTATTTGACCGTGAATTGGTGGTGGTTCAGGGAGGAGATCTCCAAATGAGAGAAGAAGGCCTCTTCCTGGCCTTGGGCATCAGAGTTTGAGGACACCTTAAAATAGAGAAGAAAGATTGAAGAATAGCGCACAACCAGACTTTGGTGTTGGGCACTTGGTGCTGGGAGTGCTCTGCCCTTGTGAGTCTCATGGCAGGAAGGTCCTTGGGGGTTGGGCTCTATTTCCCTTTCTAGGCTCAGATTCCAGAATTGATTCACTCATTGACTTTGGGTCGTTGGAATGTAGATGCTTTAGCTTCTCCACCTTTTTGTTTGTTTGTTTGTTTATTAGCATATATTATCAGTAAAGGGATTTTATTGTGGCATTTTGCTACATGTTTACAAGGTTCCTTTTTTTTTTTTCTTTTTCCTTTTTTTTCTTTCTTTCTGGTCCTGGCTCTTGAACTCAGGGCCTGGGTGCTGTCCCTGAGCCTCTTTGTTCTCAAGGCTAGCGCCCTACCATTTGAGCGACAGCGCCAATTCCAGCTTTTTGGTGATTAATTAGGAATGAGCTTCATGGACTTCCTTGCCCAGGCTGGCTTCGAACAGTGATCCTCAGATCTCAGCCTCCTGAGTAGTTCGGATTATAGGTGTGAGCTCCTGGGTGTGCCTCAGGTGTCCATCCCTGAGATAAATATTTTTCTTTGCAAACATGTTTTGTGCCCAGAGGAGACATTTTCCCAAGAGTTTCTTCCCCCTCCGGGGTAAGTGTCTTTCTTTAAGATATTGTTGCTCAGTTCCCAGGGTGCACTAATTATTGGGCCAACAGGTGAGGTCAGAGGGAGAGACTATACTCCCCTCCTCCTCTCCTTGCCCCCCCCCATCCATTTACTTTTTTTTTTTTTTTAACCTATGAGAGAGTGTGTAAGGCTGAAGGCAAAAGCAATGCCTGTGTGCTGTGCTCTGTGTGTGTGTGTGTGTGTGTGTGTGTGTGTGTGTGTGTGTGTGTACTGGAGCTTGTACTCAGGGCCTGGGGCATTGTCCCTTAGCTTTTACATCCAAGGCTGGCACTCTACCACTTGAGCCACAGCTCCACTTCTAGCTTTTTGGTGGTTGACTGGAAATAAGAATTTCATGGACTTTGCCTGCCCAGGTTGGCTTTGAACTATGATCCTCAGATCCTCCTGAGGCGCACCCAGGGGCTCACACCTATAATCCGAACTGCTCAGGAGGCTGAGATCTGAGGATCACTGTTCGAAGCCAGCCTGGGCAAGGAAGTCCATGAAGCTCATTCCTCAGATCCTCCTGAGTAGCTAGGATGACAGGTGTGAGCCATCAGTGCCTTCTTAAGGTTTGGAGCTGCACTTCTTGAGTGTGGGGACTGTAAACCATCTCTTCCGCCAGTGTCCAGGTTTTGTCTTTGCAGCCTTATTAATGGGTGCGCAGTGGGCGCTGCCCAGCCCGATGCTCAGGGGATGGGGGGTGTTAAGACTCTGGAAGAGGGTCAGCATGTGGAGGTGCAGTGGCCCGGAGGGCGTGGCACATGTCCAGTGATGGAGGTATGATTTGTGCCATTGTTCCTCGCAGGAGGCCTGGTCCTCTGGCTGTCTTCCTCGCCCTGGGAGCTCAGCAGCCATCTGGGCTTCAGTCACTGGCGCTGGCTTATGATCTGTGTAACCAGGAAACCCTGCACGGCTCACCAGTGTCCCTGGGTCAGCTACGTCTGCTCCGCTGGGTGGTGCTCCTTCTAGGATGGTGGCCAGCCACCCTTCGAGCTCTAGTCTATAAATGATTGTTGTTATAATTTGCGTGTATCCCCTAAAACTTCCTGGGATGCAATCTCTTGCTTTTTCCTGGCAGTACTGAGGTTCAAACTCAGGGCCTCTCATGCTTGCTAGGGAGGAGCTTTACCACTTGAGTCATGCCTCCAGCCTCTTGTGCATTGATAGTTTTTGAGATAGGGTCTTGCTCCCTGCCTGGGCATACTCCTGGACTTCGATCTTCTTATTTTAGGCTTGCCACTGGGAGGAAAGGGATGTGAGACCATGCTTAACTTCTTTCCATTGAGATGGGGTCTCAAAGCTGTTTCTGCCTGGAGCTGTCATCCTTCTGATCTCAGCCTTCCCTGTAGCTTGGGATGACAGGCACACACCATTGTGCCCAGTTATGAGCTGAGAAGGGCCCTCACAAGCTTTTCTGGTAGGGCTGACCTCAAATTACAACCCTCCCATGTGCAGCCTTTTAACTAGTTCAAATTACTGGTGGTAAGGCACTGGTAGTCTGGCCATATTTTTCTTTTCTTTCTTTTTTTTGTTGGTTGTGGGGCCTGAACTCTGGGTCTGGGCGCTGTCCCTCATCTCTTCTGCTTAAGGCTAGCACTCTACCACTTGAGCCACAGCGCCACTTCTGGCTTTTTCTGCTTATGTGGTGCTGAGGAATCGAACCCAGGGCCTCATACATGCAAGGCAAGCACTCTACCACTGAGCCACCTTCCCAGCCCCACTTTTCATTTTTATAATGCTTTTTATTTTATTTTATTTTATTTTATTTGAAAACATACTGTACAGAGGGGTTACAATTACATGGGCAGGAAAATGCATACATTTCTTACCAAGCATTGCAGCCTCCTCCTTTGTTTACCCTTCACCTCCCTTCCCAGCCTCCCCCCTCCCCCCCACCCAATCATACCCCCCCTCCCTCCCCCCCACCGACATCATTTTTATAATGCTTTATAGTAGCCTATTGGCCCTGAACTTCTTTGTTCAAAACTGGAGCTCTACCACTTGAGCCACAGCTCTACTTCTGGCCTTTTGGTTGGGTAAGTGGAGATAAGGGTCTCATAGACTTTCCTTCCTGGGCTGACATCTAACTGGGACCCTCAGATCTTAGCCTCCGGAGTAGCAAGGATGACAAGCATGAGCCACAGGCACCTGGCTTCAAACTTGGCAAGTCCCAGCCGCTTTGCTGCAGAGACCCTTCCATTAGAGCTAGAGTGCCACCTGGTGGCTGGGGGATAAAAGCCTGACAACCAGGAAGCTGGTACTCAGGTTGTGGGTTTAGGCTGTGGAGGGCTTCCATTTAAGTCTGGCTGTGTCTAAGCCCTTCTTGCTGTCCAGCCCTTCTTGTTCCTATGCACAAGTGTCATAGCGAGGCCACATGAAGCTGCCCTGCAGCATGGGGCTGTTAGTAGAAATGAGAATAGCAGGAGGAGCTGTGGCATGGTGGTATCAGCTGTAGTCTCAGCCACTCAGGATGCTGAGGCAGGAAGCCTAGGAGCTAGAGACCAGACTGGACAATGTATAGAGTCCGCGTCTCAAAAATAATACTCCAGGGGCTGGGAAGGTGGCTCAGTGGTAGAGCGCTTGCCTTGCATGCATGAGGCCCTGGGTTCGATTCCTCTGCACCACATAAGCAAAAAGAAAAAAGCCGGAAGTGGCACTGTGGCTCAAGTGGTAGAGCGCTAGCCTTGAGCTGAAGAGCTGAAAGACAGCACCCAGGCCCAGAGTTCAGCCTCCACGACTGGACCAAAAAAAAAAAAAAAATACTCCACAGCCAGGCGCTTGTAGTTCACACCTGTAATCCTGTAATCCTCAGGAGGCTAGGATCTGAGGATTGTAGTTCAAAGCTGGCCCAGGCAGGAAAGGCTATGAGACTCTTATCACCAGTTAACCAACAAAAAGCAGAAAGTTGAGCAGTGGCTCAAGTGTTAGAGTCCTAGGCTTGAGATAAAAAAAACAAACCCAAAACCCAGGGACAGTGCCCAGGCCCTGAGTTCAAGCCCCAAGAGAGGTGTGTGTGTGGATGGGCATGCACGTGTGTGCGCACGCACAAACACATACCCACAAGGTTTAATTGGGTCTGGTGGCACACACCTGTAATCCCAGCACTTAGGAGGGCAAATCAGGAGCATTTCAAGTTGGGCTACATAGTGGGGACCCTCTCTCCCCAAAAGGGTGGTGGAAAGTAGATCTCCTTGGGAAAATTTTGTCTTTAATAGAGTATTTTTACCACCAAGGGCTACAACATTTTATCCTCCCAGCCTGCCCTGGGGCAGATCAATGATTCTTTTGTGCAAGGGCCTTCAAGGAGTCGGCAGGAACGCAGATCGTGTTTGCTTTTCATCTCTAAAGAGACAGAGGACAGGAGGAAGCACTTTGAGCTGTCAAGGAAGGAGGCCAAGGAAGTTAAACAGGGCAGGGAGGCCCCGTGCGGTCTCTGCCACCTTTGTCCTCACTGCAGCTTTGTGTGGAGGGGGTCTTTGAAGACACGTCTCCTCCTGAGCTTTCTCAGCAGGCATAAGCCATTTTTGAACTGTGTATTGCAAAATTAGACCTCCTTTGCCCCGCTTTTGGAAGCGTTTTTGTGCAGCTTCTCTAAGAAAATCTCTTAGAAATGGGTCAGCCCTTCAGCCTCCAGCCGGCTTGAGGCCTAGAATCGGGTCATATTTTTAGGGTACAAGGAGATCCAAAGATAGACTCGGGTCCTCAATTATTGGGACTGTTGGCTTCGTGACCCCACTACGAGCGGGTGAGGCAGGAAAGGGATCACATTAGTACACGCTGAAGTTTGGGCTACAAATCTCAGTGCAGACCTAGTTTGTCAGTCTGATGGGGCCTTATCCAGTGTTTGCATCTCTGGGCTCAGACAGGTTCATGAGCAAGTCTAGTGGCTTCGAGGACCTTGGCATCTGTGGTTCTGCAACCATATCCCAACCCTCCCCAGCTTGGTTGCGTAGTCAGAACAACGGGGATTCAAATCATGAGCTTCCAAGGCAAGCTTTTCCCACCGTGGAAAGTAGCATTAGTGAGTAGCCCATTCTAGCTTTCATGATGTATGCAACTGTGTGTGCTGGTACTGGGACTTGAACCCAGGGCCTCATATTTCACTTGGCATTTGTGCTTAAGACTGGAGCTCTATCACTTGGACTATACCTCCACTTCTGGCTTTTTGGTGGTTAATTAGGACATAAGAGTCTTGGGGAGTTTTCTGATCAGGCTAACTTTGAACAATGATCCTCCAGATTTCAGCCTCCTAAGTAGCTAGGATTACAGATGTGAGCTACCTGCACCTGGCAAGTGTGTGTGTGTGTGTGTGTGTGTGTGTGTGTGTGTGTGTGTGTGTGCGCATGCGCGGGCACACGCACGTGTGCATATATATATGCTAGCACTGGTGCTTGAACTCAGGGCCTGGACGCTGCCCCTGAGCTTTTTTGCTTAAGGCTAGCTCTCTCATCGCTTGAGCCACACTCCACTTCTAGCTTTTTGGTGGTTCATTGGAGATAAAAAATAGACTTTCATCTCCTAGTGATCTTTAGATCTCAGCCTCCTGAGTGCTTAGGATCAAGCCCAAGGACTCCTGCCTGTGCACTCCCTCTGCGCTAGCTTGCCTCTAGCTTGTTTTTCCATCCCAAGAATAATTCCCAGGGGGAGAATCCCCCTCCCTGGCACCTACTTGCACAGTGGTGCTGCCCTGTTTTGCAAATGACCCACAGCAGGCCAACACCCCTGGTTCAATGCGATACCCCCACCCCAACAGTTCTCCAGACCAATAGGGTCTTTATCGCTTCTACCTGTGAAGCAGAACGTGGAGGTAAGGGTTGCTTTGCCATAATCTTTTTTATTTTATTATTTTTTTTTATAAATAATAATTTTTACTTATATATCAAAAGTGAAAAAGCATTTATAATCAACATAGTTTCAATGACAGGTGATCCCATATTTGGGGACCCCTCCTGTCCCCTACCTAGGGAGTACAGGGGTAATCTTGTCATGATTCAGTGCATAATGAGGAAAAACAAATGCTACAGAAGAACAGTTTTTCAGTGAAGAGCCAGGGGCAGAGATGGTGACAGGTGTACAGATGGGTCCATTGTCACATCCGCATTGATCACTCAGAAATTGGGCTGCAAGCCACAAACCCTGAGCTAGGAGGTTTGCAAAAAAAGAAAGAAATACTAATGGAACTCAGATGACTGAGTCGGAGCTGGCTGTGTTTCCTTCCCTCTCTCCTCACGTGTCCACGCATCTCCCCACAGCAGCCGGAAATGACACACTGGCATGAGTCACCAGTGGGGCTGTGACTCAGCCTGTAATTGGGAGAAGTTCTGTCCTGGTAGGTCATGAAGTTCCTTACATTCTGCTTCTAAATAGACTGGGAAAATGGGATCGGCTCGCTCCTTACTCATCTCTGTCTTCTACTGCGTCCTTTTGGTCTCTAACTTGGACTGCTATGAGAACACTTTTACCTGGGACTTTCTGGAAAGAGGGAAGTAGGGAAGACAGCAGCCACGGGGCTCGGGCTGCCACGAGGTGGCGTTATGGGCCCCCTCACTCCTGCCACCTGGAGAGGGTGGCGGGCCACGCTCCTGAGATTCCATGACACAGATCCAGAGGGACAGGATGCCGACGCTTAAGTAATTCTTAATGTCTTTCTAACAAGCACACCAGGGCAAAGCCGATGATCACCATCCAAGCACACCTCTGGCGCCCTATCTTCCTCCATCAAGAGACTGGGGTGAAGAGCAGCTTCCTTTATTGCTGCAAAACTGAAAGTTTTTTTTTTGTGTGTGTGCCCATCTGGGATTTGAACTCGGGGCTTGGGCACTGAGCTTTTTTTCCCCCTCAAGGTTGGTGCTCTACCACTTGAGCCACAACTCTACTTCTGGCTTTTTGATGGTTCATTGGACCTAAGAGTCTCATGGACTTTCTTGGCTTCAATCCACAATCCTCGGATCCAGCCTCCCGATTAGCTAGGATTACAGGCGTGAGCTACTGGCTCTTGACTAAAAAGAAAAGTTTTTAGGAAGCAAAAACCTGCTTCTATGTGTAAACAAGTTACCTACACTCCAAAGTGATATATGTCTGCCCCGGCTGGGGGAGGGGAGGGTCTGTGGGAGGTGGGAAGGGGTGGGGAAGGGCTTTGCTTGGGTGGTCATCAGCCCTTCTGAGCGGAGGGGGGCGGTCAGGACTGGGGTGTCCTTTGAGATGAGTCTCGTGGTGGCCTTGTCATTCTTCAGGGTGTGAGTGGAATGTAAATCGTTTGGCCAGGCACTCAGAGTCTGCAAGTTCCTTTTGGTGTGCCTGGGGCCCGGGAGCCAGATGTGAGGAGAGATGGGTTCCATCCATCCCCTCCAGCCTGGATCTTTCTTGTTCTCTGCCTAGGGAGAGCCAATCCCCCAACTCCTGAGAGAGGCTGACGCCCAGGTGACTGGTGGGGAAAGTTACCATTGGGAGAGAAAGGTGGGTGTCTTTGCTTTCTCTGGAGAGAACCATGCAAGGGGAAATTCTTCTCTTGAGAGTTTCTTGGCGTGTGACACAGGTCCAGTCGTGTCCTGGGGCAGGGCCGCTCGCTAAGGCTCCATCACTTGGCCCATGAAAAGGATTGTCCCTGTGGATGCATAAGCACAGTGTTTGTGGGTGACCTTGGGGCTGCAGGGATGGGGAGCTCACTGAGTCGCAGCTGCTGGGGTAACTAAGTTAGATGGGGTCCAGCACTGCTTGGCTCTGACACTCCTGTCTCTCTTTGGGAGGGGGAATGGAATTGGCTTCCCACAATCCTTGGGGGCTAGAAGGGCATCTGTATCTGTCTAGACAGATGGTAGCTGGGTGTGGCAGTGCAAGCCTGTAATCCTGGCAGGGAGGAGGCTTCTGAGTTTAAGAACAGCCCGGGCTATATAATGAGATTCTGTCTCAAGAAAGCCAAGGGATGATGATGTAGCTCAGCGGTAGAATTCGTGTTGTTCAGCTTGTGGAAGACCCTGGGTTTGATTCCTGGCAATACACACACACACATATGCATGTTGCACATGCGCACACACACACACACTGGTGGGAGAGTGGGGGATGCTTACCTGTGGGGTTGTGCCGAACCACAGTTAGGAACGGTCGGTCCATGATCACCTCCTCAGGGGCCATGCGGGCCGACACCACGGCGACTGCAAGAGGAGGGACAGAGTGTCAGGACAGACAGACAGACAGACATCAGCGCCAGTGCCCAGATGGATCCCAAGGGCTCCGGCGACCCCAGCCTTCCAGCCTTTCACGTGTGGACCACACAGGGTGGGCAGGGGGAGGAGGGCAGGAGGGCACAGGAACGTTCAGGAGCCTCCTTCATTCTTCTGAAGGTTGGCCTTGGCAGCTTAGGAGAAAACCCAGCTTTTTCCAAGAATTTAGTGGCGATCTATTAGTTGTTCCTCACAAATATGCTTAGAGCACATTATTATTACTATTATTACTATTATTGTTATTATATTAGTGCCAGCACTGGGCTTGAACTCAGGGCCTCACACTCTTGCTTGGCTTTTCTTTTTTTTTGGCTCAAGGCTAGCCCTCTAGCACTTGAGCCACAGCACTACTTGTGTCTGGCTTCTTGCTGGTGAATTGGAAGGAGGTAAAGAGTCTCAGGGACTTTCCTACTGGAGCTGGCTTTGAACTACGATCCTCCAATCTCAACCTCCAGAACAGCCAGAATGCTGAGGAATTGTTGCTAAGCAAACTCCTTTAGTTTGCTTCCAGTGTGGCAAGTCAAGGGCGCAGGGACTGTCAGCTGCATGGACGTGTGGAGAGGGGCGGGGGGGGGGGGGGGGGGGGAGTCCATGTGGGGCGTGGGCGGAGCCTCACCCGTGGAGGAGGAGGCCACCGTCCCGCTCTCGTCTACCTCCATCTTCACTTTCTGCAGGGCCTGCGACACATGGAGCGATTCTTGATCTAAAAAAGGGACAAGAAGGATCAACTGTGGATCTTGGGTACCCTCCTCTGCCCCTCTTCACCACGCAGGGCAAACTGCAGGGCAGAGTGACGCAGCATGCAGGCCGCCACCCACCTGAGAGGCTTGTGAAGTCTGCCTCAGCTGGATTGAACATGTCTGTCATTCCCAGATTTTCCAGGGGTGTCCTCAGGTTGATTTCAGTCTCCAGGGAGAACCTGGAAGGCAGGAGTGGGGGGCCCTCAGCTCAGGGGCCCTCTTTCTGACCGCAGCCCCTGACACAGGCCCCCCCACAGGGCGCCCTCAGATGAAGATGCAGTAGGATTTAATTTAACCTTGGAAGATGGAGGTCATTTTTTTTCCTCTCCCAAAACTATTTGCAAAGTCTCTGTCTTTGTCAGAGGTTTCTAATATTAATGAATATTCTTCCATCTCTCCACCCCCTCAAAGCTATGACTAATTACTTTCTTCAGATAAGGCAAGTATTTTAGCATAATTTTATTTAGCACAATGGGGCAGAGGGCAGGGTTGGAGTGGGGAGAAGAGAAAGAAATTCTCCCATAAAGATGTTTAAATGAAAATCTGGTCTATAGGTTGTGGGTTTTTTTTTTTTCTCTTTTCTCCTTCCTTCCCTCCCTGCTTCCCTTCCTTCCTCTCTTTCTCTTTTTCTCTTTGTGCCAGTCTTGGGGCTTGAACTCAGGCCCTGAGTGCTGTTTCAGAGCTTTTGTGCTCTTGAGCCACAGCACCAATTTCTGCTTTTTGGCGGTTCACTGGAGATGAGAGTCTCACAGACTTTCTGCCCTGGCTGGCTTTTGACCACGATCCTCAGATCTCAGCCTAAGTAGTAGGATTATAGGCATGAGACACCAGGGCCCAGCTAGGTTGTATTTTTGAGATCTTTTTTTTTTTTTGGGGGGGGGGTCCAGTCGTGGGGCCTGAACTCTGGGCCTGGGCGCTGTCCCTCAGCTCTCTTCAGCTCAAGGCTAGCGCTCTACCACTTGAGCCACAGCGCCACTTCCGGCTTTTTTTCTTTTGTGGTGCTGAGGAATCGAACCCAGGGCCTCAGGCATGCAAGGCAAGCGCTCTACCACTGAGCCACCTTCCCAGCCCCGTATTTTTTGAGATCTAAGCCTGAAAAGGATTCAGGCAGAGAGAGGGTTTGGGGTAGCCTTCTTCATGGGCAGAGGGAGGGAAAGGGAGGAGGAAGGCGGAGCAGAGGGGCTAAGGGAGAAAGAAGGAGATGGAAAAGAAAGGGAGGGTGGGGAGAATGTGGCCACACCAGCTAGCCAACCGCATGTCTTCTCTTCCCACTAACTTAGCATTAAAGCATCTGGAAGTTTAGGGGAAGCCTGGTGGGTGGGAGCTTCCTGTGATTCTGGAATTACCCAGCCGCAGCCTTCTGCACCCCCTTTTGTTTCTGCAAAAGGACTGAAATAACAAATCTGTTCGGTTGGAACCCTAGGCAGAAGCTGTAGTTGGGGCTGTCTCATCTCCCAAGTGGTGTGTGTGTGTGTGTGTGTGTGTGTGTGTTGGTCCTGTGGCTTGTGTGTGTGTGTGTGTGTGTTGGTCCTGTGGCTTGTGTGTGTGTGTGTGTGTGTGTGTGTGTGTGTGTGTTGGTCCTGTGGCTTGTGTGTGTGTGTGTGTGTGTGTGTGTGTGTGTGTGTGTGTGTGTGTTGGTCCTGTGGCTTGAACTCAGGGTCTGGACACTGTCCCTGAGCTTTTTCACTCAGGGCTCAAGGCTGGCCACACATAGCTCCACTTCTGGCTTTTTTTTTTTTTTTGGCCACTAGTGGGGCCTGAACTCTGGGCCTGGGCACTGTCCCTCAACTCTTCAGTTCAGGGCTAGCACTCTACCACTTGAGCCACAGCGCCACTTCCAGCTTTTTCTGTTTATGTGGTGCTGAGGAATTGAACCCAGGGCCTCATGCATGCAAGGCAAGCACTCTACCACTGAGCCACCTTCCCAGCCCCTCCACTTCTGACTTTTTGGTGGTTGGTTGGAGAAAAGAGTCTCGTGGACTTTCCTGCCTGGGCTGGCTTTGAACTGTGATCCTCAGATCTCAGCTTCTTGAGTAGCTGGGATTACAGGCATGAGCCACCAGACACTGGCAGTGATTCTTTTCACTGTGCTGTGAGGGTAGTGACTGGTGGAGATGGGGGTGGAGTCCAGGGATGAATGGATGGAGAATGATTCAGCCTCCCTACCCCATCATTTCTCCTGCTTCCCTCTGGCTGGCTCTTCCTGGGGTTTCTGGGGGTGGCCAGTGAGGTAGGTGGATATGGTCTACAGACTCAAGCAGCAGAAGCATACAAGAGAGATGATGCAAGGAATTCTAATCAAACCCAGACAGGACAATTTCCCATCAGCCTCCCCCACATGCCCCTGTCCCATGGGCATCTGGGAAACTCAACTTGGGAACAGTGATTTCTGAAAGCTAGGAGACAGGGAAGGGTGGGTAGCAGAATGCGGGCATGGATGACTTACTTGGGTAGGACCAGGAGGCGGGGCAGTCTGAGCATCTTGGCTTTCCACTGGCTGATAAGCTGGGCGTCTAGGATGCTGGTGATGGTGGAGAGAGGCACTTCTTTTCTGAAGGGAGCTGCGATAAGCATGCTGAGGGTTTCCCCGTGGTAGGGCAGTTCCAGGATGTCATAGATATGGCCATCTGGGGTGGTGAATTCAGCTGGGGAGAAACCAAGATGGTGCCTTGGAAATGACTCCAACTCTGCTTTGTTCTAATGCATAGCTCTGTGTTCAACTGATTCTTCTTGTCTTTCTAATCCTTTCTGGAAGCTAAATGCTCTATTTGGTTTTTGAGTACCTGTCCTCCATCAGATAGGTAGGGAGGTAGGTAGCTATCTATCTATCTACATCTATATCTATCTATCTATCTAGATAGATAGATATAGATATATGGATTTATCTCTATAAATATATCTAATTGTGTGTATGTGTATGTGTGCATGCACACACATGTGCACCAGTACTGGAGCTTGAACTCAGGGCCTGGGTGCTGTCCCTGAGCTTTTTCCACTTAAGGCTGGTGCTCTACTACTTGAGCCACAACTCTACTAACAGCTATTTGTGTGTGTGTGTGTGTGTGTGTGTGTGTGTTTGTGTGTGTGTGTGTGTGTGTGTGTGTGTGAGAGAGAGAGAGAGAGATTAATTGGAGATAAAAGTCTCATGCAGGGCTGGGAAGGTGGCTCAGTGGTAGAGTGCTTGCCTTGCATGCATGAGGCCCTGGGTTCAATTCCTCAGCACCATATAAGCAGAAAAAGCCAGAAGTGGCGCTATGGCTCGAGTGGTAGAGCACTAGCCTTGAGCTGAAGAGCTGAGGGACAGCGCCCAGGCCCAGAGTTCAGGCCCCATGACCCGCCAGAAAAAAAAAAAAGTCTCATGCAGCTTTCCTGCCCTCAGATTTTAGCCTCCTTCGTAGCTGGGATTATAGGTGTGAGCCACTGGTACCTCTCTCCCATTCTGTCCTTTTATTCCTTGTTTTCTTCTACCAGTTCAATATCTCTGGTTTCTTAGTCTCTTAAAAAATTTTTTTTTGCTAGTACTAGGGCTTGAACTCAGGGTCTAGGTGCTGTCCCTGAGCTTTTTAGCTCAAGGCTAACATTCTACCACTTGAACCATACCTCCACTTCCAGCTTTTTTCGTGGATAATTGGAGATAAGAATATCACAGACTATGGTAGAGCGCTCGCCTTGAGCTGAAGAGCTGAGGGACAGCACCCAGGCCCAGAGTTCAAGCCCCATGACCGACAAAAAAAAAAAAAAAAGAATATCACAGACTTTCTGGCCTGGGCTGGCTTTGAACTGTGATCTTCAGATTTTAGCTTCCTAAGTAGTTAGGGTTCCAGGTGTGATATGGGGAGATACGGGGGAAAGGAGGATCTTGGACTTACTGTAGTTGAACTTGTTCATCTGCGCCATCATGGGTACAGGAATGGTGCTGCCGTCAGACTTGTGGAAGACGCGGTAGTGGGTGTTTGACTCAGGAAAGGGCGTTTTCCACCGGCCATTGAAGTAAAGTGCGTTTGCCAGCACCAGACGCGTCAGCGGGTCCACGGCCCCTCTGCCCAGCAAGTCATTGATCATACCTATAAGAAAGTCAGATGATCAGGATGTTTCGTCTACCTTTAAACCTGGTAGTGGTCCCCTTCATCTCCCACTACTGAAATGGAGGTGTGTTGGGATGAGGCAAAGGACAGATGAATGAATCCATCTAGTTGCTTTTGATTTGTCTGGTCTTTCTGTGAGCCTGGGGGCGTCTTTCATGTATATTCATTTCCATGTTCTCTGAGACCCTGCCCATAATATCAGAGTTGGAAGCTTAAGCCTTTCCTTACTTTCTGCTTTCCTTTGCTCTGTAAGGTGTGTGTGTGTGTGTGTGTGTTTTCTGGTTAATTGGAGGTAAGAGTCTCACAGTCTGTCTTTGAACCTCCATTCTTAGGTCATAGTCTCCTGAAGAGCTAGGATTGCAGGTGTAACCCTCTCAAATGATCCTCCTGCTAGTCTCCTGAGTATCTGGGACTACAGGCATGCCCCTCAGCTTTTCCACAGGCTGGGATAACAGGCCTGTGCCGCCATACTCACTCTGAATTGCTTTGTGGATTGGAAAGCCTAATCAGGAACACCAATTTACCCATTATGCTTTGGTTTGAAAAGTGCTGGGTCTTTCTGAGAAGGTAATGCTGGAAACGAGAGCTTACCCCCGAGTTCCTCTTCCCAGCTCACCTTTCGTGTGCCTCTTCACCCAATCGTTGATGATGAATCTGGCTTTCTCTGCCTCTGAGAAGTCCACTTGCTTCACAGTGGTCCGGAACAGCTTGAAGAAGTGGGGCATGAAGCCCTCGACCAGCCTCATGTCGCGCTGGACAAAGATGGCATCCGTGATACTGATCTCATCTTTGTTCCAGGGCCCCAAGAGCTCCCCGTGCAGTCCTCGGAGGCCGGGGGCCACGCCCTTCTCTGTGTGGAGGGAGAGAGGAAGGGTGCGTTAGACTCACCTGGAGCCCTGGGCTCCTGGCTTTCGCCTAGCTGGCTTCAGACCTTGATCATCCTACCTCTGCCTCCTGTATAGCTAGGATTACAAGTATGCACCATGCCACTTGGTTTATTTTTGTGGACTTTTGTTTGCCCTGGCATGATCCTCTTATCTTTGCCTCCAAAGTAGCTAGGATTACAGGTGTGAGCAACTGTACTGGACCTTATCCAAAAGGCTGGGAAGCGATGCGCTATAGTGAATATCTTCTTAGAATAAATAGTTAGAACAACAACTTCGCATTTGTGATTCTACGTAGCATTTACACAGTTCTGTGCAGCGGGCAGTGTTGTTAACCCCATTTGATGGATGGTGAAGCAGCCTCAGGAGTTAAGGTCACACAGTTAATACGGGGTATCTCTCTGTCTGTGACACCCTGAGCAGGACAAGGTCCAGAGACCCAGAAGGTGGGAGGAAGAAGACGGACAATCGTACATGATGGACTTGGCCGAGCTAGAGCCAGCCTTCTTCCCCCAGCTGTTGTCTTGGCCCCTGGTTGGTCTGTGAGGAGCCCCTGGCCCCCACTTCCTGCTCTGCCCTGTCTCTCCCTCTCACCTTCAATTTTGAACCCCATCGCGGCTTGGATCTGCTCTCGGGTTTTCCCTCCTGCGGTCAGCTGCAACATGGCCAGCACAGAGGCCACCCCATAGGGTGAGAAAACCACGTTGCGGTCCTTGGCTGCCTGAGCCACTTGCTGGAACACCTTCACGCCGAAGTCTGTGGTCAGTTGGGCCAGCTGGGGCTCAGTGAGCAGCCCATACCCTTCACCCAACGCCAGGGCCAGGACCAGGGCCAGGCAGGCAAGGGCTGGAGACGTCCGCATCCTAGAAGCAACGGAGATGAGAAGTTCCAGAAAGTTCTACGAGTCTGCCCAGGGATGGGGGTGGGGGGGCTTCTCATGTTTGCAGATGAGAAGTGGAAAGAGTAAGTTCATGTAATTACAGATCCTACTCTACCTACTTCTACTAATTCCATGGTTTTTTGTATGTGTGTGCCAGTCCCGGGGCTTAAAGTCAGGGCCTGGGCACTGTCCCTGAGTTTTATCTGCTGAAAGCTAGTGCTCTACCACTTGAGCCACAACTCCATGTGCAGTATTTTGGTGATTAATTGGAGATAAGAGTCTCATGGACTTTCCTGCCCAGGCTCTTTTTGAATCAAGTACCTCAGATCTCGTCTCCTGAGAAGCTAGGATGACAAGCGTGAGACACAGGCTTCTGGCTTTGTTTTTGAGGCATGGCCTAGACTGGCCTCCAATTCTCCATCCTCCTGCCTCAGTCTCCCTAGTGCTGGGATCACAGATGTGCTGGTCCTGGGCACTGTCCCTGAGCTTCTTTTGCTTAAGGCTAGCACTCTACCAGTTAAACCACAGCACCACTTCCAGCTTTTTCTGTTTATATGGTATGGAGGGATTGAACCCAGGGCTTCATGCACGCTAGGCAAGCACTCTACCACTGAGCCACATTTCCAGCCCTGCAAGAAGTCTTAAATACATTTTTTCTTAGAAGAATGTTGGAAGATGCCCTAATATATCACCCTTCCCCTCCAGGGGGTTGGAAAAGCTAAATTATAATGGCATCTTTTTTTTCTTTTTGTCAATCGCGGGCTTGAACTCAGGGCCTGGGCACCATCCCTGATCTCTTTTGCTCAAGGGTAGTGCTCAACTACTTTGAGCTCCACTTCTGGATTTCTGGTGGTTTATTGGAGATGAGTCTCATGGACTCTCCTGCCCTGGCTGGCTTTGAACCACGATCCTCAGATCTCAGCTTCCTGAGCAGCTCAGCTGCCAGCCACCAGAGCCTGGCCATAATGACATCTTTGATTTGCATGGCGTTTTTCTGTTGTTGTTGTTGTTGTTGTTTTGTTTTTAGTATCTTTTTTTTTTTTGACTCATTAGGCTTTCTCCAATTACTGTTTGATGAAAATTGGAGGAAATTTCTGAGGTTGGGGGAGGAGAACAGGTGTTGCTGGGGAAAGATGGGGCTGAGGTCGGGTCTTGGTAATGGTCTTGATGGTAGGGTCCCACCCGCCCTACTTGCCTGTCTTTGAGGACGGGGCAGGGTTCCAGGAGAAAGAACACAGAGGGAACATAAGGATGGGGATGGACGGAGGAGATTCGAAAAACTTCCAAAGAAGTCTACTCCCCCGCAGGGAAAAGCCAGAAGGAAGTTACCTTTCTCCTACCTGACAGAGGCTCCTTGTAATTGGCAGTTTCTCCTGCTTGGTAATTGGTGGTTTCTTCTGCTCTGTGGAGTGGGGCGGCTTGAGGAGCCCTGGCTTTGCGCTGCTAGAGGTGGGTAGGTGGAGTGTGCGCGGCTCCTGCTCCCGGCGCTGCAGCCACAGCTGTGCTGCCTCTGGGCGGCCACCTCCCTTTATACCGATGAGGCAGGAAATATGAACTCATGGCCAGCCCCACCCCCTAGCAGGCGCTGGCTGGCTGTCTGGGCCGGCCGCCATCCAGCCCCCTTGGCACCTCCCGCTTCGAGAACTCGCCGGGGGCGTGTGCGTGCGTGCTGTCCTGTGTGTCTGTGTGTGGCAGTTGAGCAAACTCTGATTGCCTCGTCCCCACGGCCTCCCTTGCTCCCCCCCCCACCCCCCATGTTCTTGTCCAGCACAGGCCTGGCCACGCTGTGTGGCTCACAGGCTCACCCTTCCAAACTTGCTTTCCTAGTGTGCAACTTGAAAAGAAAAAAAGGCCCTTGGTTCCCCCCCCCTCCCCTTGCCCCTCTCCCAAATTACCAAAGAAGCTGGAGATTTTTCCTACCAGGCCCGTCTGCCCTGTGTGCGCCCTGCCACTCTCTAGGGAAACCTGTGTTCCCTCCTGTGTCCCCAGCCCGGCGGCCAGCGGGCGCGCAATGTGCGGGTGACCGGCTGCGTTCTGTTTGTCTTAGACTTGGGCACAACAGAGGATGCCAGGCCTTTCCCTCGTCCCTGCCACGTGCCCGATGGCCTGGGGTGGACATGCTAGCTCCCCTACCCTGTGCCTGGCTCTGGCTCTGGCTCTCACTCTCTCTCTCTCTTCTCTGCCCCCAAGGGCTCTCCTGATGGCAGTAGCCCTGTCTGAGTTAGGGTTTGCAGTGGGGTGGTGGTAGCAGAAAGGGACCTGAGGTTGCCATAGGAACAGTATGGCACAGCATTGGGTGCGTGGCATGCGGATCTCATTTCTCGTCACTGTCTGTGGCAACTGGCAGGGAGGGCTTGACCCTTATCTTCTTCCTCCAGGGCACACAAACTGGCAGACGGAGCCCACAGGACTAGGGAAAGAAGGAAGTAGAGGTTTGGGGTGTTTTTCGCGGTTAGAAAAGGAAGAGTGACAAATGAGTGTGTGTGTATACATGTGTGTGCATGCATGCGCACACGTGTGCACCAATACTGGGGCGTAGACTCAGGGCCTAGGCACTGTCTCTTAGGTTTTGTTTTTTTTTTTGCTCAAGGCTGGCGCTCTACTGCTTGGGGCCACAGCTTCACTTCTGGCCTTTTGCTGGCTCATTGGACATAAAAGTCTTAGAGGTGGCCCTGACTAGACTGGCTTTGAACTGTGATCTTCAGCTATCAGCCTCCTGAGTGGCTATGATGACAGATGTGTGCCAGCAGCGCCTGGCACCAGTGGATTCCTTAGAGGATAGCTGTGGCTGGCGGCTTGTTATTGGGGGGTTGGCAGACTTGGGGTCCCATTGGTTACAGCTCAGGTGCCATAGATGGAGGTCCTGGGAGGGGAGAGGAAAGGAGGAAAAGGGGAGAGGGGAGGAGGGAGGGGAGGGGGAGGTCGGTGGACTCCCTGTCATGCTTCTCGTGGGTGGGGGTGTGTAACCGGTGGTAGCCATGGAGATGATTGAGGGCAAAGGCAGAGGAACTTTGAAGTGGGTGGGATCATCAGGATGTTTGTTTTGGATTTTCAGTAAACAGATGCCAAGGGCAACCACAGCAGAGCAGTTTTCTCATCTGAACTGGAGGTGGCTGGGGAGGGGTGGGGGCAAGAGGGGAAACCTTCCATGGAAAGACAGGATCAGACGCAGTGGAGAGCTGTTCCCAGGCCTCCGCCTCCTGTTTATATGTCTTCCCTTCCATGGTCTTCTTTGTGGCTTGGAGGATGATTTGCCACAGGAAGGAGCGAATCACCCTGCCTTCACCAAAGGTTGAGACACAAGTACAGACCCAACCACATCTCCCTCCCCCCTGCCCCAAAATACCCCTCCATCCTCAGGGCTTGGCGCAACCCAAGGTACCTAGCCCCAGGGACCAGGAAGGCCGGCGGGTATATACCCCACTGGCAGCCAGCCTTCCAGAGGCTTCAGCCCTGCTCCTGGGTTGAGTTAGCTCAGTCTTCCCTGGTCCTGTTTTCTGTGGCTGGCCTGATCCTTGGCCTTGCCAGGCAGAGACTAATTCCATCCCCATCTAGAGATCTAGTGCCATTCTGAAAGTGACATCCATTTGGGAGTATGGGGGGGAGGAGGGGGGCGCTGAGGGAGGCTCTGTGTCCTGACTAGGTGGGGTCAAGGGGCATGTTTCCCTTCAGAAAGAGAAAAGGTGAAGAAACATGTAGGAATCTCCCCAAGCTGAAGAAACATGTGGGAATCTGGGAATTAAAGCCAAACCTAGTGGGACGGGGGAGGGGGGAGGGGGGTCTCATGCTGAGCCTTCTTCTTCTTCTTCTTCTTCTCCTCCTCCTCCTCCTCCTCCTTCTTCTTCTTCGCTGCTGCTTTTCTTCTTTTTGGTTGGTTGTAGGATTTGAACTCAGGGCTTGGGTGCTGTCTTTGGCTCTGTCTGTCCTCAAGGCTAGCACTGTACCAGTTAAGCCACAGTGCACTTCCATTTTTTGAGTGGTTAATTGGAGATAAAAGTCTCACAGGGACTTTTCTGCCTGGGTGGGCTTTGAACCACAATCCTCTGATCTCAGCCTCCTGAGTGGCTACTAGTAAGCATGGATGCCCGGCTTCATGCTGAACTCTCTGATCGTCTGTTTGGTTTGGAGCTGCTGGGGCTGCCTAGATGCTCTGGGGCTAGACATGACCGTGGTCCTGGCTCCCTGCATACCCAAGGCTTCATCGGCCCTGGGACATGGAGAAGAGCTGGGTGTCCACAAACAGAGTACAACTTTCTGTAAGCTTCCATTTTGTGCTGCTCCTGGGTCTTGAACTCAGGTCCTGGGTGCTGTCCCTGAGTTTCTTTTGCTCAAGGCTAGTGCTCGGTGATTTGAGCCACAGCTTCACTTTTGGCTTTTTGGTGGTTCATTAGATAAGAATCTCATGGACTTTCCTTCCCCGGCTGGCTCTGAACCTTGATCCTCAGATCTCAGCCTCCTGAGTAGCTAGGATGACAGGTGTGAGCCACCAGCGCCCAGCGAAGGCCTCCTTCTTGGGGAGAGACAGTAAGGGGTTTACTCCCCGGGAGATCTCTGCAACATGCTTCTCAACATCTAGCCTGACTCATAAGGCTTTGCTCACTTTCCCTTTCTTCCCCCAAACACCAACTTTCAAATAGATAGAGAAAAATCCCTGCTGTTGAAATAATTGGATCTCTGATTTCCGGAGAGTTGGAGATAAGAGAGTGAGTTATGGGGCCCTGACTTTCCAGGGGAAGTTCCAGCCACAGTTAGCTGGGAAAGATGGCTCCCCAGGCTCCTCTTGCAGGTGATTTGTGACTGAAGCAGGAGTCACATTTTCCATGACTGTCCCCCGCCCCCAGCCTCGTGTAGACACAGCCTCCACTAGGGCCCTGGAGTGATGATCATTCATGACCAGCCTTTTGCCTTTTTGACCGCTATCTAATCTTCCTCTTTGCTTCTCTCTTACACTCTCCTGCTGGCTTCCTTTCCTCCTGTCTCCCCAGACTCTTCCTGTTCCTGTTTTTCTCCTCCATGAGGTGATTCTTCCTCCTGTCTCCTCTCCTCCTCCCTCTTTTCTATTCTCTGACTCAACCCCTCTTTTCCCTCTCCTCTCCCTTTCCAGAATCCCTTTTACAGGCAAACTCCGATGAAGAGGCCTTCCGGTGGGAAGAGCCCTGTGTGTCCTATCAGTTACACAGCTCAGGCTCCCTGGAATGCTGGCTGATTTTCTGGGAGAGCTGGGGGTGGGAGCAAAGTCCTGCTAACTCATGTCACTATTTCTGGCCTGGTGGCTTTCCAAATAAGACAGCACCAAAAATAGCCTTGTGTGTTGGGCTGGGCTCCCTCCGGCCGCTCCAGGAGTGAGCCAGGCCCAGCTTTCTGTGGATCTGGAGCCACGGTCCTGAGGCTGTCAGGCGTGGCTCTGGCCATGCTGAGCCAGAGCCTTGTCCCTTGACTGGCTTCATGTCTGGCTGCCCCTTTTCAGCCCACATAGCACCCCAGTCCCACTGCCCTCTTCTCCCCAGCCCCTGCCTAGCCTGTGTCCTTAACCTTGTGTAAATCTCAATACCAAACCTGCTCTGGGCTGGGCGCCTGTGGCTCACGCCTATCATTCTTGCTACTCTTGAGGCTGAGATCTGAAGATCATGGTTCAAAGCCAGCCCAGGCAGAGATCTGAAGATCATGGTTCAAAGCCAGCCCAGGCAGGAAAGTCTGTGGGACTCTTATCTCTAATTAACCACCAGAAAATCAGAACTGGCACTGTGGCTCAAGTGGTAGAGTGTTTGCCTTGAGCTAGAGAGCTTAGGGACAGTGCCCAGGGTCCAGAGTTCGAACCCCATGACCGACAAAAACAAAACAAAAGATGGCTCAGTGGTAGAGTGCTTGCCTTGCATGCATGAGGCCCTGGGTTCCATTCCCCAGCACCATATAAGCAAAAAGAAAAAAAGCTAGAAGTGGCGCTGTGGCTCAAGTGGTAGAGCGCTAGGCTTGAACTGAAGAGCTGAGGGACAGCGCTCAGGCCCAGAGTTCAGGCCCCATGATGAACAAAAAAAACCCAAACTTGCTCTGGGCTGGGTGCTGGTGGCTCACACCTGTCACACTAGCTACTCAGGAGGCTGAGATCTGAGGACTGAGGTTCAAAATCATCCCCAGACAGGTAAGTTCGTGAGACTTTTATATTTAATTTACTAGCAAAAAACCTGGAAGTGGAGGTATAGTTTAAGGGGTAGAGCACCAGCCTTGAGCAAAAAAGCTAAAGGACAGAACTCAGACTATGGGTTTGTCAAGCTCCAGTACTGGCGCGCATGCACACACACACACACACACAGACACACACACACAGACATGCGCACACACACACACACACACACACACACACACACACACACTGATGTAGCCTCTGCTTTTCTGAGTTCATAGTGTTTGCAAACAGGTAGGGCTATGAGAATCATTTGAGCCTATCCCAAAGCCCAGGCCCGAGGGGTGGTGAGCATGGGGC